TGATTTTTTTTTTTTTTAGATTTTAAACCTCCTGATTATATAATTTGCTGGTTACTCTTTTTTTCTTAATTTACTTATCTTATAATATGATTCACATTGTCCAAAAATTTAATATAATCTGAAACCTAAGTAACGAAAATTAAAAAATGCCCAGAAATACCACAACAGTACTGACCACGGCTTGAGGTATTAATTACAACTTGATAGTCTGACAATGAAAAATACTGACCACGACTTGATAGTTTGATCATGAATGATACTGAACACTGCTTGACATACTGACCACGATTTGATATTTTGACCATGAATTGAACGTTTAAGTGTTTATTATATTAAACATTACCAAAATGTTTTTATAAAGTCATTTGAATTATTCTAGTATTTTGTATAAGTAATTCAAGAGCGTATGAGAAAAATAACAGTATAATCAAAACTGAAGAAAAAACAATCAGTCAGGGCATATTAATTTATAGATTGTTTGAAAACCACCAATCAGGTCGTGTTAATTTACAAAGAATTACAAAGTCACCAATTAATACGTGTTCGTTTACATATTGTTATAAAACCACCTATCAAAGCGTGTTAATTTACAAATGTTTACGTGAATCCAAATCGGCATATTCATCGCACTATAGAAAAGTTCTATCTTAAAAATATAATTTTGTGATTTAATTGAGAAATCGTTACATTTGAAATAAATAACTTTTCCCATCTTGTTCTTTTAGACAGGAATGAGGTAAATTTATACCATAACATTTAATGTGCTAGACGTACATACATTATTGTATATATATATTTATATAGAAGCTCGAAAACTATCGACGACTACAAGTATTACACTACTATGTTTAGGGTTATCTCGGTATCAACGAATAGCATCACACTGCGTTAATTATACATAAATACTGACAGTATAATACTAAGTTTAAGAAAATTACTTTTGAACTCGTTGAAAATATCAAACTAGCAAATTTTCAGACAGTGACTAAATAGGAGCTAACACAAGCTTTCGGATCCTTCGCTAGAACCCTCTATTGGTAGAATATATCATTATTTATATGTAACATAAGCTTTCGGGTCTCTCGCCAGAGCCCTCTACTGGTGCATTGTATATAACCCAAGATTTCGGCTACTTCACCAGAGCCCTCTACTGGTAGATTATATGTAGCATAAGTTTTCGGCTTCTTCGCCAAAGCTTTTTACAGGTAGATTGTATGTAACACAAGCTTCTGGTTTCTTTGCTAAAACCTTTTACAGAAAGATTATATGAAATAGATTTACTAAATGACCCGATTATTATAATAACTTACCACTAATGTTACCAAAGGAAAGAGCAGAAAGCTTCTACTTTAATTTTTTTTATTTGCACCAATTATCTTTTCAGATTCATTTAGAAGTTGGAGTGCGAATTCAAGCTTACTGGTGCGTTCGTGACTGGCAAAGTCCAATCTTGTGGCAAAGTTATGAAGTCTATATGCTTATTCTTATCCTCGTGGTGCCATCTGGTGTCATGTGTTACACTTACACAAGGATATGTCACCAACTATGGGTTGTCGTGAAAGAACGTGCCGATATGACATTAGGGAATGTGTAAGTATCTACATTTCATGATAGATAGATAGATTCAATATACTCTTCTTGTGTTTGAAGTTGTTATATTTCTCTGTATTTTTGGTAATGTGATTTTCTTTATTCACGATATATTGAGAATCGAGAGAATAATATATTTGTTTTTGTTGTGTTCATTTGTACGAAAGTTAACTTCACCAGGAAGAGCAGGTTTAAATTATTTGTTAAATTATATTACTTTTGAAGCGACGGGATCGAGGCCAAGACTCGAGCTCCTGAAGTTAGATATGACAGAGACAAATAGAACAAAAACAAGAAAAATTATTAGTAAGAGCATCGAACTGTGGGAGCAAACTGCGATCTCTTACATCTCGTGATTTTTAGTAAAAACACATATGTAGAGTAAAAAATACCGTTTCACTGCTATCTTAACATATGATCACGAGTTTCTATAATGGAGAACAAACCTTCATAGCGTCTATCAAATCACGACTAAACAGAAATCTTTAAAAATTTAATTCTATGAGATTGAATCTTGAACAATTTTAACTACAAGTACTGCACACACACACAACGTAATGTATTGAAGTAAAATAAGATTTAAGCTACAAATACTGCGCACACACAACGTAATGTATTGAGGTAAAATAAGTTTTAAACTACAAATACTACATACACACAACGTAATGTATTGAAGTAAAATATGTTTAAGCTACAAATACTACATACACACAACGTAATGTATTGAAGTAAAATAAATTTTAATATATTAGTTGTAGCTATACATGGCATGAAAAAGTGGTTAGGCCATGGCCTAACTGGCCTTATCGCTTCCTACGGCCCTGTTCAGTAACCAATTTTAGAAAAGAAATGTCATTTCACTTATATGAATTGCGATTACACATAACTAGCTTTATATTTGTTTCCTTGTTTTACTAAAATTAAAAAAAAGACTCTTCGTTTAACTAGTTTTCTTTTAAAATTAATAATATACAGTATATATTTATATATATTATTTTCCTGTGTGGTTCCTGTATACAAACGTTGACGGACATGCCTTCAGTATTTCTCTGTCTCTGGTGGCCTGGCATGACCTGGTGGTTAGAGCGCTCGACTCGCAGTCTGAGGTTCTCGAGTTCGAATCCTCTTCATCGAACATGCTCGCCCTTTTTACCGTGGAGGCGTTAAAATATGAAGGTCAATTCCACTATTTGTTGATAAAAGAGTAGCCCAAGAGTTGGCGGTGATTGGTGTTGACTAGCTGCCTTTCCTCTAGTCTTTCACTGTTAAGTTAGGGACAGCTAGCGCAGATAGCCCTCGTGTAGCTTCAGGCAAAATTCAAAATAGACTAAACCAAATAATTCTTTCAAGAGTGTTTATTGATTCTCCAGGACTCAAGAGGGAGCGCAGTAGACACAGCAGCTAAAGATGTCAAAAATGAAATAAAAAGTTACTATGAAATTAAATATATAAATATATAGCTGAATACTAGCGAAAAAAAAACAACTGTAGTTGGCAAATAAAATGAATATCACTAGAAGTAGAGGAAATAAAAAATATAATAATAAAAGACTTTTTACACAGCATTATTTAAGTGTGTTTTTAATGAACTGAGCCAAGATTAACATAATAACGGTAAATCTGTTAAATATGTAACGCGCATGAAAAGCAAAGGTAGAAGGGGAGTGACTTGTAGAAGCTGGTCTAGAAGTGTGCTTTTTTATTGTTTGTTTGTTTGTTTGAAATTAAGCACAAAGTTACACAATGGGCTATCTGTGCTCTTCCCACCACGGGTATCGAAACCTGGTTTGTAGCGTTATAAATCCACAGACACACCGCTGTGCCACTAGAGGGCGTGCTATTTTTTAACCAATCAGGATGCTGCAAAAAGAAAACATCGAATAATACGTTACAAATTCCGATAGTCGAACCGTTTAAAGTACAATCCACTTTTAGCAGTCTGTTACTGACTGACTGTAAAGAGTTTAAAAATTAAGAGAAGTGGTTTGTATCCTAATTCAACATATATATTTACTGAAGAGACACAAGCTCCACCAGTTTATAAAATATTGAAAGAAGTTTTCTTCTCAGTAAGGACACACCGTATAACAGCTTAAAATAAGATTTCCCAAGTGCGTCCGCTACCAACTTTGAACACTTCAGATTTGATATTTTTTATCGATATTCGACGAGTTTTCAATTATCCCAAAGTTTTTCCAAAATATTCTTGTGTAAAAGTTCGATATTTGCTTCCAGACATTGCTTCTCCAACGTTACGTATCCTGTATAGATACTGAACACAGCGAATGTTGATTGTGTGAAAACTCGTAACACTACGAATTGAAATGTGTGAAATCCCTTATTGACCTTAGTAGAGATCGATAAACCCCCGTAATGACCTGAGTATAGATGTGTAGAAATGTTTGATGATCAGAGTAGAGATTTGTAGAAATCTTGTAATGACCTAAGTAGAGATATGTAGAAATCTTGTAATGATCCAATTATAGATGTATGAAATCTTGTAATGATCAGAGTAGAGATCTGTAGAAATCTTGTAATGATCTGAATAGAGACGTGTAGAAGTATTGTAATGATCCGAGTAGAGATGTGTAGAAATCTTATAATGATCCGAGTAGAGATGTATAGAAATTTTATAATGATCCGAGTAGAGGTGTGTAGAAATCTTATAATGATCCGAGTAGAGATGTGTAGAAATCTTATAATGATCCGAGTGGAGATGTGTAGAAATTTTATAATGATCCGAGTAGAGATGTGTAGAAATCTTATAATGATCCGAGTGGAGATGTGTATAAATTCTATAATGATCCGAGTAGAGATGTGTAGAAATCTTATAATGATCCGAGTAGAGTTGTGTAGAAATCTTATAATGATCCGAGTAGAGATGTGTAGAAATCTTATAATGATCCGAGTAGAGATGTGTAGAAATTTTATAATGATCCGAGTAGAGGTATGTAGAAACCTCGTAATGATCCAATTATAGATGTGTGAAATCTTGTAATGACCTGAGTAGAGATGTGTAGAAATTACCTAAATTCTGGAAGTTTCCTCTGTTCTAGGGGCTGTTCCACAGAAATATCAATTCGTACCAAGAACTACCCGATGTCTTCCAGCACGATAGTTAAGCCTAGATCCACTATCCACAGAATAGATGATGATAATGCTCAGGTGAAACAGGTAAGAATGGCGGTTTTTGATGTCGATATATATAACATTTTCTGGGCGTGATGACACAAAACGTACCGCAAAAATATGTGTAAGTTTAAATGACCTTACATAGTCTTAAGACTTAGAAATGGATCAAATTATGTAGCCAGGTATTTGACTAAGAATAAAAACCCAGTACTATAAACATGTTTTATTAGAAAAGATATAATATAGGCTAGAATCTAAAAATGTAATTTAAAAAATAATATGACAAAGGCTTAAGGTTCTAAAAACGTATTATTATAAATAATCTTACATAGGCTTAAGGTCTAAAAACCTATTAACAGAAATAACCTTACATTGGTTTAAGATATAAAAATGTATTAATAGAGATAATTTTTATATATAGGCTTAAAATCTATAAACGTATTATTATAAATAACCTTACATAGGCTTAAGGTCTAAAAATCTATTAACAGAAATAACCTTACATAGGTTTAAGATATGAAAATGTATTAATAGAGATAATTTTATATATAGGCTTAAGATCTAAAAACGTATTGTTGCGTCAGCGAGGTCACGTGACTCGTTCTCTCGAACCTTCGGGAATTGTCGGGAGATTACTAGATATAGGGTAGTCTGGTGTATATAAGAGGGTGACAACGTGACGGGACAATAATGTGTGTAGGCAGTGAGTAATTGATCTGCAGTGAGAAAGTATTGTCGAAGTTAACGTTCGTTATAGCGTTTGTTTAGCGCGAATGTTGAAATTAAGTGTATCGTGAAGTTATATTCAGAAAGAATAAACCAGTTTTATTAAGTAAGGACTTGTGTCGCTAAAGTTTCGTCGGAACGAAGTTACGGAAAGTTAATTAACAAACGGAGAAGTAACAAATTGGTGTCAGAGAGTGGGACAGAAAAACAAAATGGAAATGAGAAGCGGCAAATCAAACTACAGTATAGCAGACTTGATGGCAGCAATACACGAACAGCAAAAGAAACAAGAAGAATGAGAAGAGAAATTACAACAGTTATTAGAGGAAAAAGAAAAGAAACAAGAAGAACGAGAAATTAAACAAGAAAAGAAACAAGAAGAACGAGAAATTTAACAAGAAGAGAGATTACAGCAGTTGTTGGAGGAAAAAGAAAAGAAAAAAGAAGAACGAGAAAAGAAACAAGAACAGAGATTACAGCATTTGCAAGAAAACCTGCAACAGTGGCAGCTCGAACAGCAAAATAAACAAGAAGAGAGATTACAGCAGTTGTTGGAGGAAAAGAAAAGAAACAAGAAGAGAAGTTACAACAGTTGTCAGAAGAGAAAGAAAATAAACAAGAAGAGAAGTTACAGCAGTTGTTGGAGGAAAAAGAAAAGAAACAAGAAGAGAGACTACAACAGTGGCAAGAAGTACTTAATCAGCCCAGGCAAT